AAAAGTTGAAATAAAAACAAACATTTTGGTTTCGGCCTGACATTTTTTTTTATTTCGGTTTCATTTCGGGTTTTTAAATTTGCATTTCGGTGCACCTGGTTCTACCCCTTCCCCACTCCACCTAAAATTGTAAAAAATGGCAATACGTACATACAAGAGTGTGACTTCAAGGATAAATGTGCCAAGATAAAGTTATCGTTGAACAGTAGCTCTGCCCCCAAGTCTTCCACTCACTAAGGCCCCATTCACACTGAGCTCAATGAAAATCACGCGACTTTGAGCGATATTGCGCGACGAGCGAACTCCATTTGTTCAGATAGAGAGGTCACCCACCATTTGGATGCATAATACAAAGCCTCAGAGTCACGTACATTGTGTTAAACTTTGAAAGCATGAAATGTACAGTCATTTACTTATACAGAGAGGAAAATAATGATTTGATCACCGGCAGATTTTGTACGTTTGCCCACCTACAAAGAAATGAAAGGTCTATAATTTTTATCATAGGTGTATTGATACACATGATACAAATGTTATACATTGAGTTGCAGTTCAGTGAGTGAAATATCAGGACCCTGAGCACTGGTCCTGATATCCTGTTTTAGAGTGGCTGCTTTCCCTTGCAGGGTCCTATGGAGGCACCCTTGTGTGTGTGTGTGTTAATAAGGTGTCTCCACAAACACACAGACACAGCAAGGCAAAACACTCCCCTCTCCCCTGATCCCCGCTCCTCCCTTCTCCAAGCTAGTAGATGGAGAGCTGCTGGAGATTGCTCTGCCCATTGTGATCTTGTACTAGACAGGAAGTTCAGGGAAGCGGAGCTGAGAGAGTTGAAGCTGTTTGGAAACACGAGGTCGGGCAAAAATGTAAATAAATACTTTGCTGGGCAATGTATATTTGTTTCTGGATTATATATTTATATCCGGATTCATTATTGAAAAACATTGTAAATGTTTATTACTACTTTAAGCGAAGTGTTATGTTAAACATAGAGGGGGGGGGATTTATCAAAACTGGAGCAGACAAAATCTGGAGCAGCTGTGCATAGCAACCAGCTTCTCTGTTGCATTTTCAAATCTTAACTGAACAAACTGAAGAGAGAAGCTGATTGGTTGTCATGCACAGCTGCTCCACATTTCGTCTGCTCTAATTTTGATAAATTCCCCCCACGGTGTATAGTAAGCAGCCATATGGATTATCAACTGCCAAAAGTAAAGAATATATTCTGCTATATCTATTTCCCTGCAGTTGTTCAAAGACACAAAGGGGGGAATTTATCAAAAGTGGAGCAGACAAAATCTGGAGCAGATTTGCACTGCAACCAATCAGCTTCTATCTCTCATTTTCAAATCTCAACTGAGCAAACTGAAGAGAGATCCTGATTGGTTGCCATGGGCAACTGCTCCAGTTTTGATAAATCCCCCCTAATGAGGAGACTGTTTCAAAACTGGAGCAGGCAGAATCTGGAGCAGTTGCCCACGGCATCCAATCCACTTCTATCATCAGTTTGTTCAGTGAAGCTTTCAAATGGATAGAGAGAAGCTGATTGGTTGACATGGGCAGCCGCTCCAGATCTTGTTTGCTCCAGTTTTGGTATATTCCCCTAAATGTTAGTGTGTAATCATGTTTGAACAAGCCTCAGTAGTTGTCCAGTCCTAAAATATGAAAGCTGGCCCTGGAGAGATGTGTCATTTCCATCCCCCAGGCAAAGCAACCAGTGGGAGGCTGAGTGCAATAACAGACTTCCTCAGGTGCCCTGAGACTCTGCCAATGATGGCATATGTCACAAAACAGAGCTGGGAGGTATAGCTGGTATATTACAAAGCTTGATCTTCCTACATTTGTGTCACCTTCATTTCAACAGCTGGGCCCTCAGGACGATTGTAGAGAGATTGTACAATCACACTGGATGTATGTGGCCATCTTTACAAAGTATCAGATCAGATACATTTGTATTCCTTATAAACATGTGATGTGAGCTGAAATTCCATGTTCTAAGAAAGGGCAGAATAAGGCAACATGCGAGGCTTCAGTATAATGAAGGACATCATTATCACTTTGTTCAGAATGAATCAATGCTGAATGATTCTTTGTATCACATCCTCAGCTTTCCTGACTTCAACAAGTTATCAATAACTGGAGATCTTATTACCATTTATACAGCTGGAGTCAATAGAAAGGAAGCAAACTGAAACATTGCTGGGAAGATGAAAGTGAGCAACGGAGATGAGGGGGACAAAAAGAAGACATTAAAAAAAAAAGAGGACAAGAGGAAGACATTAAAAAAGGAATGTATCTATAGAAGATGAATGTATTAGAGGGAAATAAAGGGGAAGGAAGATCGCGGGAGAGAGGAGGAAAGGAATATAAGAAAAGAGAGAGGGTGACAGTACAAGAGAAAAGGGACAAAGGGATTGACAGAGAAAAGAAGGAAATGAGGAGATAGAAGGAAAAATTAGTGAGATAGAAAGGAGAGAAGAGAGTGAGATAGAAATAGAGAGAAAAAGGAAAGAAGAGAGTGAGACAGAGAGTGAGATAGAAAGGGGAGAAGGGAGTGAGATAGAAATAGAGATAAAAAGGAGAGAAGAGAGTGAGATAGAAAGGGGAGAAGAGTGTGTGATAGAAATAGAGATAAAAAGGAGAGAAGAGAGTGAGATAGAAAGGGGAGAAGAGAGTGAGATAAAACATAGAGATAAAAAGGAGAGAAGAGAGTGAGATAGAAATAGAGATAAAAATGAGAGAAGAGAGTGAGATAGAAATAGAGTTAAAAAGGAAAAAAGAGAGTGAGAGTGAGATAGAAAGGGGAGAAGAGAGTGAGCTAGAAATAGAGGTAAAAAAGGAGAGAAGAGAGTGAGACACATAGTGAGATAGAAAGGGGAGAAGAGAGTGAGATAGAAATGGAGATAAAAGAAGAGTGAGATAGAAATAGAGATAAAGGAGAGTCAGATAGAAATAGAGATAAAAGAGAGTGAGAAAAGTAAGGATAAAAAAAGAGAGAGGAGAGTGAGATAGAAACAGAGATAAAAGAAGCATGAGAAGAGAGTGAGATAAACAGAGAGAAATAGAGATAGGAGAATAGAGTGAGATAGAAACATAGATTAAAAAAAGGGGACCGAAGAGTGCATAGTAATAGAGATAAAAAGAGGAGAGGAAAAGAGAGTGAGATAGAAATAGAGATAAATGAAGAGAAGAGAGTGAGATAGAAAAAGAGATAAAAGACGAGAGAGGCGAGTGAGATAGAAGTAGAGATAGAAGTAGAGAGTGAGATAGAAAGGGAGATAGAAGTAGAAAGTGAGATAGAAAGGGAGATAGAAGTAGAGAGTGAGATAGAATGGAGATAGAAGAGAGTGAGAAAGAAATGGAGATAGAAGTAGAGAGTGAGATAGAATGGATATAGAAGAGAGTGAGAAAGAAATGGAGATAGAAGAAGAGAAGAGAGTGAGATAGAAAAAGAGATAAAAGACGAGAGAGGAGAGTGAGATAGAAGTAGAGATAGAAGTAGAGAGTGAGATAGAAAGGGAGATAGAAGTAGAGAGTGAGATAGAATGGAGATAGAAGAGAGTGAGAAAGAAATGGAGATAGAAGAAGAGAGGAGAGAGTGAGATCGAAGTAGAGAAAGAGAAAAGCGGAGGATTAGAGAGGACATGCAGCAGCATCACAGAAGGGAGAAGAGCAGCAAACCTGAGCCAGTAGCACACCTGTTGATAAGCGTTCCATAGACATAATCATTACCTGTATGAAGATCTTCAGAGTAGCCGTAGACACCAGGCTAGTGCAGATCAGTGAAGAGGGATCCAGCTCTCCATCCGGGCTCACGTTCTCATACTTGATCCCCATTATAAAAGCCATGGGCAGGGCAAACACTAAGGACGAGACCCATATGGCAGACAGGATCTTCTTGGTCCTCATTTTGGACATGACCCTCTTAGCCCTCATGGGGTGGCAGATGGCCAGGTACCTCTCACAGCTCAAGCTGGCAATATTCAGCACGGTGGCATAGGAGCAGATATCGCGCAGGAAATAGTAGCCCCTGCACACCGCATCTCCAAACACCCAGGGGTAGTGGAACCAGATAAAATTGTACAGCTCTATGGGGATACTGATCACCAGGATAAGGATGTCGGACAGTGCCAGGCTTACCAGGTGGTAGTGCACTGTGCCCTGCAAGCTGTGCAAGCTTTGCTTCTTCAGCACCAGCTGGATGGTAAGCACGTTACCTATAGTGCCCACCAGAAAGATGAGGATGTACAGGACAGTGATGAAGACCTTGGACAACAGGTTAGTGTTGACCCCCAGCGGGTGAGACGAGTCACTGGTGGCATTGGGCACCTCTAATCCCCAGGTGATGTTCTGTAGTGCCAGCATCCTCATTGTCTTCCTGATACACACACATGCACTGTGGATAAAGCTCCAGCAGGTTGGTCCTCCTCCAACTGTAGACCCAACGTCACTCCATGTCCTCCAGACAGGGTGCTGGTGTGTATAGAGCACTCAATGAATCATGCCACTTATTAATTGAAGCACTTTACCTGCAGACTCCTCCAAGGGCTGCACTAGCTGTGCAATCATGCCAACCAGTTTATAATGATTTCCAGAATAGCAGCTTCTGATCCAAATACCAGGTCATATTTAGCCATCCAAAGTAAATGCCGAGTACATTATTAATACTGAAGGATGAGGCATTCTGATCTCCAGCAGGCAGAGTTACACATATAATAGATCCTTTTCTAGGAGCTGTGTGTAGGGTGGGCTGACTTAACTGATTGCCAGGAAGCCGGAGACCTTTCAGCCCCTCTGTTCTCTAATAATCCAGGCTGACGATAATAAGAGGCAATTGCATCCGATGTGGCTCAACTGGCTAGAAAGGCAGATTATAAAGAATAATCAATTGTAAACTGTTGACTGCTGGGAACATGTATCAAGTATGTGATCCTGGCTGGTTACATTCTGATTGTAATTAAGGTTAATCAAGTTTGATGCCTGTCAGAACGATGGGTGAGTTTTCAGTAATGACTGTAGAAGAGGACTGGAGCACGTTATTGCTTACAGGTGGGACATGGCAGCTTATCTGCATGAGGAAGGCATATTAGTGCTTGGCTCTCCACCTGTGGTGGCACTGCAAGTCCCAGCACCTCCTGGAGAATGCTGGTACTTGTGGTTCCACTGTATAGTTAGCCTTACAGTGCTTGCTTCTGTGTTAGAACAGTGACATGAAGGGGTTATTGTAGAAAAAGGCAGTATAGATTAATTTGCATTTCCTATAAAAAAACAAACGAGTGTGATATTTATAGGCAGGGATACTGGGTCAGGCAGGTACTGGGTTAAAGTAATTAAATGTGAGATTGTTGTCCATCATGAGAGTGAGCTTGGAGTGGTGACTACTTTACAACACACACAGGGACCATGGGGAACAAAAGTAGCCCCCCCTCCAGAAGGAAGGACAGTGTCGGCACCAATTCAGAGATGATTTGAGGAGCTACAGCCGAGTGATACACAAATAAGATACATTTGTGTTAATAGTTAATGTACCTGAATGTATTGTTAAGATGTAACTCCTGAGTTTAGTGCCACTCACTTTAAAGCTAGCTATAGACACTGAAGGGTATTTGGATGTATTGGTAGCAATGACAGCCCTCCAACAAGTACAAATGGCCACATTGTGTTGACCCTTCCAGTTTAGTCATTTTCAAAGTGATCTGCTAAGGCTTTATAAGCTGTCCAATTGCTATTCCCCCCAATGAGACTCCAGTGGCAGTGTCAGCAAGTGCCCCATAGACATTAGATTATTACCCAATCCAGCCAAAAATGGAAATACTGTCGTTTTCTTTGGAATGTCAGCTTCAAAATGAAAGAGCATAGTTTAACGCCTATCTCAAATACTGGTGGGGGAGTAATCAGCTTTCGGAAATACTTACATGTAGCCTTTGTGGATGTGAACTGTTCTTCTTACACTTCTATAACAGACGGGAGTGTAATCTCCATTAAATTTCAATGCTGCACTGATGCAGTTCAGCAGGTGGTAGGAAGATCCTCCAGCATGACCCACTCCATTAAGTTTATGAACGCATCAAGTAAAATTAACCTAGCCTAAATCGGTCCACTCTTGTGAAAAGTTGTGGGTGATTTTCATCACAGATATGAAGAGAAGTTCAGGAGCAGATTATTATGAACTGGGCACACATTGGAGCACCCTGGGGAATGCACAGTAGACTTGTGCGCCGTCAAAAAATTTGTTCTGTTTCGTTTCGTTTCGGAATATCCGTTATTTCGTATTTCGTAATTCGTAACTGAACTCAATTCGGATTCGAACTTTTTTGTTAAAGGAAACCGGTCATTAAGGGAATTGGGTAGGTTGCCCAATGACTAGGGATGAGCCGAACACCCCCGTGTTCGGTTCTAATTCGAACTTTCGAACATGGAAAAAGTTCTAATTTCGAACTTAGAACTCAATGCAAGTCTATGGGGGTAGAACTCAGAAAATTAAATGTTCCCATTTTGTAGCCTTATATGCAATTTATTGGCCATAAAAAGTGTATGGGGATCCGGGTACAAGCAGACATCCCGTAATGTTCGGTGTTCAGCAAACGCTAGAACAGGCTATGTTCGAGTCGAACCCTTTATTCGACTCGAACATGCAGCCCATCGCTAATGCTGACTTGTTTTTTTAAAGTGCCAGCTTTGGAGCTGTCATATTTTTCCTTCATTATTTACTAAGTCAATGACCTGGAAGAAGAATTTGTGTATCAGGGGTCCTAACACTCCACTAGATGTTTGTTCCAAGTTGGTGACTCACTAGTTGTATGCCAAGTGTAATGCCGCTTATACCTCTCCCCTCCCAGCATCCAAAGCTGCCTGTGCCACTCTCCTAAACCACAAACAGCAGCTGGGTGCCTGTCCAATATGGCAGCCGCAAGGTTCAGTGCCTTCTCAATCCTCTCCTATGGAAGGGCGCTCTGCATCAGCTCCAAGTTTAAACTGCATATATGTTTTAAGCTGGACATACACCTTACAATTATCTGCACATTTTCTGGGGTCAGATGGAAAAAGGTGCAACAGATTCCTCCATCTACACTTAACTTTGTGGATGGAGTCATCTCCACCTGGTCCAATCTGTTGCACTTTTTCCATCTGACCACAGAAAATCTGCAGATAATTGTAAGGTATATGGGCAGCTTTAGGCCTGGTTCACACCTGGGCGTTTTACAGCGCGTTCCCACACGCTGTAAAACGCTCAACATGTGAAAACCAATAATTACCTATGGGCATGGTTCCCACCTGGGCGTTTTACAGCGTGTAGGAACACTCTGAAAAACGCCCTACGCCCAAAGAAGTACAGGAGCTTCTTTGGGGTGTATTTGCCGCGTGTATCCATTAGGATTTATCCGGATAGCCCTCAGAAACGCGCGTTTGTCACGCGTTTGTACCGCAAATCGCGGTAAAAACACGTGGCAAACACGCATATTCCGTACGCCCAGGTTTGAACCCAGCCTTAGAGGAGATGTGTGAATGCTCACCTGTCACCACCCACTTTCTGATAGCTGCTATCAGCACACCTTTCCTATAAAGCACTGCAGCTTAGAGAGCACAGTGCTCAGTTATTAGTGAGCTTCCCAGAGTTCAGACCTGTGTTCCTGACTCCTCAGTATTCAGACCCTTGTTCCTGTATTCCTGATTCCTGCTTGTCTATTGTTTCTGAACCGCAGCTGCCCACACTGACCTTGGCTTGTTTAACCGCGTGAGAACCTCTTCCGCCTGCATCGACCTTGGACTGTTATTTGACTACGAAAACTGGACTTCCCTTACTGCTCTACTGAGATCTATCTTTGTAGCTGCCACAGTGTCATTATTTAGACTGAAGCCTGAAGACCTTTAGACATGTATCCACATGTCTAGAGGTGGCCAGAAGAGGAAAAACAAGGACAAAATATAAGAGTCTATAAATGTTGGTGGTTAGTTCTCCTCCTTCAAACCCTGCTGTCCTAGGCACTGGCCCATGTGTGTCATTATGATAATTACAGCCATGTCTTCATGTGGCACACGTGTAGTGAAAGCAACATTCCCTTTTCTCCATCACTAAACAGTCGTATTGGGTCTATTCACAAAAGGGTGAAGAGTTTGAAGAAGACAGGAGAAGTGAACAATCTAGGACAACATAGCTGAACTGGAAAGTGACCTGAATTGGAGAATTTTTCCAAATTGGCTATTTTGTCCTAGATTGTTCACTTCTCCCGTCTTCTCCAAACCCTTCACCCATAGAGATTTTAAAACCATGAAGGTGAAACTTTGTGAGTGAAATTGAGCACTCTGTATGCTAACAGTTGCTCTTCATTGCTGTAAGTGAACCCATATGTGCGTCCTGATTTTTACATGCCATAAGTACACTTACAGGGTTGTGTAGGATCACAGAGATAAATTGTCCATTGGAAATAAAAGGCGAGGTGGATAGGTATGGATAGGTTTATTTAAAAAAACAATGAAGATCAATGTGCAAACTGTAGTAATACATAACAACCAGGTGGAAATTATTTTCCACAGATTTCACTTGAAGCCCAACTCTTAAAATACTGCTGGAGTAAAAAAAAGCAGCTCTGGCTGCAATACTTATCCTACTCTCCAGTGCTTTCCCCTGCAGTACCTGAATTCTGACACAAGATGTCCTCAGTCTTTTGGGTTGGATGACCAACATCATTCAGTCCAGAAAATTGAGGGCATATTGTAAGTGCAAGCATCATGGACCTGTCCCCTCACAGTGTAATGGCGCATTGCTCAAAATCCATAACGATGGTCCACCACAGGAAGAAGCTTAAAGATTACCTTACCCGTAACGTGATCAGCCTGAAGATTACTTGAAAAGATAACGATTAAAAAATGAATACATACAGTTAAAGGGTGGGTCTCTGGGTGGTGGGAGCAGTGAGCCCGGAGTTGGATTTAAGTAACCTGAGTTCATTTGTCAGGGGCTGCAGCATTGCAAAATTATTTTAAACAGGCCTGAGGGATTTTTCTAATAGCTTCATGTCTTCTTAAAGCAACCTATGCATTAATCCCACCCTTCCCAGCAACACATACTTTTTCTTTGCTTCCCGTCTGTTCATTTAGCCACTGGGAGTGAATAAAAAAGCCCTGTGTAAGCTCCGTGTTCTACTACTCAGTGCTCTCTGCCCACATGTGACAGCCCTGGGCCAATCAAGTGAAAAAAGCTTAGAGTCACATGCTCATCCAAATGTATCAGTACCAGGTCGTTTCCTTGCTCCCAGTGCCTTTTTTTCTTTTCTACAATGTGCACTTATTCTTTTTGCCAGCACCCCCCCTTCACTTGTCCCAAACATTCCCACCCTGGTGCTCTGAAGATCTATACTTACCGATATCCAGAGGCCACTGCTCCCCTGTATATTGACATCTAGTGCTGCAAGTCTCTCTCTCCTGACCATATAAGTCTTTCAGCTGGTAGACAGCTCCTGTAGAGATCTATGGGACTGTAATGTGCAAGTGAGGCCAGCAGAGGGAGCATTGCAAGGTTGGATGTAAACAATAGTGGAACAGTACCCATCAGATCTCGGTAAGTACCAGTGATGTGCCGTACCCTCTGTGTTGGGTGAGGCATTCCTCAGCCTTCCGCAGTTCCGCCCCATCCTGCCAAAGCTCCACCTCTGTCCCGC